TGTACGTGTGCGTGTGCATGCTTTGTAAAATCATATATTATATCTGTTGAGCTCAACACGACATACTCCCCCTATTGAGAGAGAGTATCGATCAATTTATTACATACGTTCAATTTATTACTAGTCTATCGCATATGAATTGCTTATATTATGTTCGCTTATACACATGTGCAACATCGCATTGAAATGTCAAAGTTCGACTACTTCTCCACTGGCAAAGGGCAGAGAAGTTTCGTCGCTCTCTTTATGTCTCCATTCGTCGTTTTGATGGTAGCGACTCGAGAGACTCCGTCTTCGCCTGGATGCAGTGCCGCTATCCTGCCTAGTGCCCATTGCGCACAAGGTAGGTTTTTGTCTTTAATGAGCACGACTGCTCCGACTTTGAGCTCCACTCCATCCTTGGTCCATTTTTTGCGCATTTGGAGTTCGTTTAAATACTCCAAGTTCCAGCGTGCCCAAAAGTCTTGTCTCACCTTGGTGATGTGCTGCCAAGTAGACAATCGATTGGCTGGAACAGACGACAGATCTCCCTCAGGGAGGGCGTTTAGCGGTTTCCCAATAAGATAATGAGCGGGCGATAAGGCCAGCAAGTCGTTCGGATCGGATGAGAGAGATGCAATCGGCCTAGAATTGAGAATACCCTCGACTTCGGCTACGAACGTATTCAACTCTTCAAATGTAAATAACGAATCTCCCACCACCCGTTTAAAGTGATGCTTGAAGAGTTTTACCGATGACTCCCATAACCCACCGAAATGAGGAGCAATAGGTGGTATAAAATGCCAAATAATGCGGTGATCAATGGAAAATTGGCTTACGAGATTCTTATGTTGCTCGGAGTTAAATAGTAAATACATTTCTTTGAGCTGATTATTCGCGCCTACGAAATTTGTTCCGTTATCGGAGTAAATGTGCTCTGGTATTCCGCGTCTCGAAACGAATCTACGTAACGCGGCGAGAAAACCGTCGGATGACAGGTCACTCACAAGTTCGAGGTGTATGGCTTTCACGGACATGCATACGAAGACGCAAACGTACGCCTTAACTTTGGTCCGATTGCGGAATTTCTTCTCTTTAATGTAGAAAGGCCCACAAAAGTCGATACCTGTAGCAGAAAA